GTGCCTTCCCTGCTGTGTCCTGCCTGATCGCCTGTCTGCCTTCCCTGCTGTGTCCTGTCTTCCCGGTCTGCCTTCCCTGCTGTGTTCTGCCTGATCGCCTGTCTGCCTTCCCTGCTGTGTTCTGCCTGATCGCCTGTCTGCCTTCCCTACTGTGTTCTGCCTGATGGCCTGTCTGCCTTCCCTGCTCGTCTCATTCATCGTTCCTGCCTCGTCTCCCTGTTTCCTCGTCTACTCTCCTCCGCCCTCCCCGGATCCTCGTTTCGTCCACCTGTCCCGGACTGATCTCCATGGTTACCGACTCTCGCCTGCCTCTCGACCACGATTTAGCACAGGGTTCTTCAACTCTGAACCTTGGTTCCAAATCCAGGCCGTGTTTTCAGTTCTCCCGGGTAGTTGTTTAATGATTACTGATTCTGATTGGTCAGAGGCTTCACACCTGACTGACAGGTAAAGGAAGGCTGGAAAACCAGCAGTGCTCGGACCTCAAGGACCGTGAGTTGAATAACCCTGATTTAGCACGTCCCCCTTGGTTTCTGTTCTCTCCGATCTCAGAAATAAAAGCCTTTGCCTCCGCATCTCGGGGTTCGCCTCCTCCCTGCTCGGCCGACATAACAATCTCCGACTGCACACGAGAGTGAGTTGGAATACAAGTGTTTTTTTATGTGTGTTTTAAACCTTTAGTGCATCACTGAAATATTGTTGTAGGCTAGGATTTATTTCAACTTTTGCAGAGCAAATTGTAATTTCAGATCAATTGTTCTATGTTTTTTCTGGATGTTCATATGTCTATTGTTTTTTTTGCAGTGTGTCCTGGGGAAACTTAATTTGAAGCATAAACTAGCAAATACAAAAAAGCACGTAAAAAAATATTAGATAAATTCAACCAACTGGAATCTAAATGAGTTCCTTGATGGCATCACAGGGGAACCAATTAACGGACAAAGCTTCATCAGAACATTGAGGATTGTATTTTAAAAGGTTTTAGGAAATCGCATGAATCTGAGCGTGAAGGCTAGATGCAGGGACTTCCTTTCAGGGCCTATGTTTTTGACAGACTACAGTAACGGCCCATACATGAGGAAAAACACGTTTCCATTCAGTAAAAAACGTGTGGCATTGTCTCCTAGGCATCTGAATGAGTACTCACAATACCAAGCAGTGGGAGCGAGACCAAACTGGGCAATGCTGTTAGCTGCAAAGCCCCAGGAAATGGACCAGGATTGCATTTAAAGTGGAATGAAAAATGACAACTGACTGAAATAAGTGAAACTGATACCTATTAGCGCAAGCTTGTATTTATTATAAAAACGAAAATTCCCGATATGGCAGATAGTCCTGAATGACTATAACTTGAGAGCTTCTCTGTTTAACATTGTAATTGCATACGTTACGTCGACCTGATACAAAACTAGTTTACATACAGTTTGTTGAATACTCATACTTCATTTAATCTATGATTATACTGTATATGCGAAATTACCGCAATACAGATTTACGGATGACTGTCTCATTTGCTCCACTTCGGTCAGAAGGAGATATTTTATAATCCGAATGAATGACTACATAGGGACTTTTCCTATTTTTCTGCCCCTCCTATGGATTTTCTTGTGAATCAAAAGCTCCTCCCCATCAATGTTTGTTGGGATGGGTGGGGGGATCCCTCCTGGACTCTCTCTCCAATACTCCATCCAACAGAGCGGATAGACTTGGAAAAGAGAAAGGAGTGAGTGAAGGGGACAGATCGAACAACGTTAAATTCAGAAGCGCTAGTAATATGAGCGCATACTAGACAATACGGATGAGATAATACACTGCGGAGGTAAAGATACGTATAGTGAATGAACTCAGCGAAAAAAAATGAATCTCAAAAGACGACTGTCGAGAAGTTTTAAGAAGTTTCTCTCATGCGGCTTTGCGCTTCGAGCCTTTGCCAGCACTTTTGCTGTGGTTCTCCTGCCGTGGTGCGCAGCTTTTAATCTGGACGTGAGCAACCCGGCTGTGTACTCTGGACCTAAAGGCAGTTACTTCGGCTATTCCGTGGAGTTTTACTTAGCCAATTTCTCAAGGTAGGTTTCTACATAATACGCGCTCTTACATAAAGCCTGGAACTTTGGAACTTTTGTGTCTGAGTAAGAGTATCCGAAAATGCATCAAAAAGATTATTTTCGTTGTTTGGGAATTAGTACTGCATCACTAGCAGAGACAGCAAATAACGCTTATGCCTTACATATATTACAGCTTTTCATTACTCCAGTTTTTTTCTCAAAACTGTTACAAGCCTGTTACAGATGCTGTTCATTTTGCATTACACTAGCAATCATAGATATCAATGTCCAGAAATCACTAAAACAATTTATTTTAATATAATTTTGCTACCGACTGACCCGTCCAGGGCGATATTCCATAAAATTATGCGTTTTACGTGATTTATGCGATGCATCAATAAAGAATTATTTACTATTCAATTTAATATAGCAAGTCGACCAACTCTTCCCATTCATTTTGTTTAAATTCACCGTCCGAATTCGCTTTCTCTCCGCTTCTGCACATGGACATTTAGCAATCTCAGCACAACGTGCCTAATTTGCAGTTGATTTCTAATGCAACCCCACAGTACATAAAGACGACATTATTTCAACATGCTTGTAAGTAAAGTCAAACTAATCGCTTTATTTTTCGGGTGGGAGGGAGGGCAATGTGTAGTTATTGCTTAGCCTACCTATTCATACATTGTGGTACAGTAGCCTATTTGATCGGTAGTATTCCGGCAGTGCGAATAGAAGCACGGGGTAGTATGTTCTGATTCTTTTTGAAGCCGTGAGTTTCACAGGGCCTTATTCCAGGGCCTTATTCCAGTCAATTCAATGATCAAAAGTCAGTCAACTAATTCTGAGACGTTAATAATAGTGTGATATGTGATGTTTGAACCAACGCAGTTTGGATTTTGATTGAACAAGTTTCAATCATGGAAATTACCCTTGTGTTTTTGTACGAGCTGCAGAACATTAGGTGTGTAATTTGGTGAAGCAGTATTAAAAAGGTGGGTGTGGTATGGATACGTTAAAGAAATCTATACAAAATCCAGATGCGTAGCAGTACGTGATGTACGCGCTAGGCGCAGTTGGTTGTACTTCCACTTTAGATGTAAAACTGCATGATTAGAACAAATCCGTGCTGGTTTCTTAGTGCAACCGCTTAAGCTGTTAGATTTTGCATCTCCTGAAGTTCAGTCTGTCCTGATGTCGACGCGTTGGTTCTCGGCGTTGATCATGCACAGGAGAGAGGGTTTAATTCACTAGGTCGCTCGTGCCGCTCAGAATCGTCGTGGCACAGCCCCCTGTCGTGGCCTTGCTATGCTCAGTGTCTCCAGCTGCGGGCTGCGCAGCTGCAGACCGCAATATTTGGCTCTAGCACTCCTCACAGCTGTGCAATACATTTTCGCGACTGTTTCATAAGTATAATGTCCGGTAACAAATTAGCTCATGCTAACAGGCTTGTGGTAGCATAGGAAGACATGCGTGTAGTATCGGATGATCCATAATAAGTAACTGCTAATACTAATGGAGAAGCTGCAGTTTCTTAATGGGTCCTCATATTCCTTGGCTCTGGATGGATATCACGCTTTTTTGGTGCACTCTGCTGTGACAGGGGTGTGAGTGTCTTTGTCTTCCATTCATTATAGCTTTTTTTTATGCTTTGTGATTTCTGAAATGGTTCTGATTATTTTTTTCTTCGTAGGAAAAAGCTGTGTCGCTTATGGCTCGTTGCTTTTGCGAGGCATGTTCAGCGCTGCCCTTGGTTTGAGTTCATCCCAGAATTTGTTTGGTTCCAAGCACTGGTTCTGATTTGCCTCTCCTCAGGCATGCTGTGCAAATAGTGGGAGTGAGAGAAGTTTAGTGGGGCTGCTGTGTTGTACAGAGCACAGCCTTGACCATAAAAATAGCGTCTCTCCTTATTTAGGAAATAAATCATGAGACATTTGTATTGCTCTTTACATTTTCCAGAGCGGTATGGCTGGGTTCCCCTTTGACATCACCCCCTTTTTGTTGGATGATTAGCATGCCACACCTAGAACGTTGTCAGCCACCAGGGTGTGGCAGGAATTGTCGGCCATGTGGATGCCCAGCTGGCAGTAAATACCGCTGTGAGGTGATGAGGTTGAGGGAAAAGAGCTGTCTGACCTCAGTCCTCATTTTTTGCATAAAATACACACAGACACATACCCTGTGTGACAGTGACGTGCCCAAAGGTTCTTGAAAATCCTGTAGGAAAGCAGTAGCGACTGAGCTGCCGCAGCCAGAGTCCAGTCTGGACGCGGTTTTCTTTAGGACAGAGTAACCGTGACTGCGTTTGTGCAGGCCACTTGGCTCAGGTGTGTAGCCTAGACCAGGAAGTGTGAGGCAATGGGGAATCAGATTTGTTATGCTCTGCAGTGTCATAAACCAAGATCCCTGGTTACTCATGCATTGCTTTTAGGGATCTGATAGGGATGAGATTGTGTGGATGAGGACAATTTGCCTTTAAAATACTACGTAATGCTCAGCAATGCGCATTACAAGCAGCGGCAATCATTCCAAACCCACTATAGGTCGTGCGTCACACTCATTCTTGTCACATTTATTTATTTAACAGACACTTTTGTCTAAGGAAATGTGGAAGTGAGTATCGGAACGCGGGGGCCAGGCAGCATCCCTGGAGCAGCGGGGGTACAGGGGCCCGGCTCAAGTGCTCAGCAGAGATAAAAATGAGATCTTGACCCTCAGAACAGACACAGATCCCTAATCTGCTGAGGCACAGACTGCCCAAGGCATGACTGATACCGGGGGAACAAAACTCACATTGTCTGCATAATGAACATCCACGCTGACCCACCAGAAATACATTGAGTGACTTGTTACTGTTCTTCGTAAAACCTCTCCTTCATACAATTAACAATTCAGTGGTGTTTATATCCACCACTGTGCTAAAGTCTCAAGCAGTCATTGACTTGTCAGTATCCTCATTCTGGAGAAATTCCTGCCTAGACATTGGGTCTCTTTCACAGTAATGGGCAACATTTGTGAGAATCAATGGCACCCACTCGCATAAATATTATTGGCATAAATATTCCTATATCTGTTAATTCCTTGTGACGTCACATCCTTGACTGCCGCCTCTGTCCGTCTGTGCTGGTGACATGAATATAAATGTTACCAGGAGGCATCGTCCTCACTGACCGGACGTCATGTCGCGTTTAAAGCGACGTAATTTTAATTATTAATTCAACGGCACAGTGAAACTTTTGTAAGTAAGTAAAATTTATTTATAAGGCTCCTTTTGCGGCCAAAGGTCACAAGGCACTGAACAATTTGTATTGGATTACACAATTGTAATGCACCCCACAGTAATTTATCATCAAAAAAACTGGGAAATGGGTCATGAAGCTACTTGCCTTTGCATGTTTATTAATTTTTAGCAGTCACTAAATAAAGGAGCGAAACATCGCTCCTTTATTTGTTGAAGTGGGAAAATGACACCATATAATCTTCCATTAGAATTGTGGTGAAAACGGATGTGTGACCCTCCATATTTGCCCTGTGGGGTGATGGCTGTAGAGAGGTGGCCTCCTACATGCTGGGTGGAGTTTGGAGCTGTGCTGAGGGAACATGGAAAGGAAGCTGAGCGTGTGGGCTCCGGCTCCGCATGGCTTTTTATGGGCTGCCTAGGGCTGATCTGGCAGAGACGTGTGGAGCAGCTTTGTTCGTGATTGCCCTGCTCCCTGGATAGGTAGATTTAATCTCTAATGTGGCTCGATTTGGGTTAAATGCAGCAATTGTGCTGATTCTAATCTAGCCTCCCACAAATATAGACTTTTACTGCCCAATGTTTAGACCCCTTCGTTCATTCCAGGGCCATAATAATGCAGAAAAAAATGTTTTACCCTGGATTCTGACATTGGTTTGTGCTTGCAACGCCATCTCCTGGCTTAGTTTTTCTGTTTTCTCCCCTATTTTGATGACCTACAGAACTTCTTTTTACATTTTCACATTTTATTATAAAAATAGATGAGTTTGATAATAAGCTGATTTTGTTTCATGGTTGTCACATTTCTGGTGTTTCACCTCAGTCTGTATGCAATGAAGCAATCAAAAGGCTGCTTTGAATCTAGCGGATTAAATGCTCCCTGTACACACAAAAAAATCACTCTCACCATCCCAACGTGTTGTATTTCAGCATGTTGTGAAATGCGTCTGTGTAAAAATGGTTTTATTGCAAAAACAGGAACCATATACCCCTGGTTGTGATTGTACTGTGAATGTGCAATTGTGCAACAGACTTTAACATGACATAAGCTTTGGTCACATTGCACAGTCACACGTACAATGCTATAAATAATCTCTGTGTTAATACTTCCCTCAAATGGAACATGGGTAGGATTTGAACAAGATGGGCTGATGACTCAACAAATACGGGAACCAGGGTCACATTTTTTATTCATAGAGTAGCTGGTATTATCTATTGTTCATTTCCCACAAAAAACACCCTACTGTTGGCCACGTAATGGGAGGATCTTGCTTGGTATGACAGAAATGTTCAGCTGGACTGAGAGAGTGGATGTAAATGTGGAGAATTTGGTGTATTAGGGCAGTTATTCAAAAGCCTATTCTAGAACATGACACTGAACTCTGAGACCATGTCTACCTTTTTCCACTGCGTTGAAGATGTATTCATATTGGCTGGTTTTCTCTGCCCATGTCTGAAGTCCGTCCAGTTGTGCTATTTAACCATATCCCAAGGATTTTGCAGACTAAAAAGGAGAAAAGATCAAAATCAGAATCAGCTTTAATGGCCAAGTATGTTAACACATGCAAGGAATTTGTCTCCGGTTTGCTCTCAATGTGCTTGTACAGGACAGACATACAGCAAAAAAATGAGACTCCCATAATGAAACAGTGCAGTGTGTACAGAAGAGGCGTAAGCCAAAGGGCTTCGGTGCAAAGGTGCAGAGCGCAAAGATGCTGCTTACTATACATACATGAGGTACGGTGGATGCTGGGTGATAGCGGATTATAGCGCAGAATTGTCC